TTGCCGAAATGCAGCTGAGATGTGCCAAAAATTAAAAATAATATAAAATACAGTATACATGTTTGGCAGATGAACTGTCTGCGCATGCGTCTGAATGTTGTGGACTGTCAGTGATCGTGCATAAAACATTACCCTATATAATTCAATTTGACAAATGATTTTTTTTAACTAATGCAGTCGCCTTTAAGTTTTGCCTTACTTTACTAAATCACGATACAAAAAAAATTTACTCATTCAAAAAATTATCTAGAAATTTCATATAATATACGAAATATTTACTCAAGTCAAAGGAGCGTTTTGGGTCTGAATTTTTTTACTGTGCAAGAGACATAATAATTTTCAACTAATTGGTAAATATCAGTATAGGTTATAAAAAATTGGAACTTTTGAATTGTAGAGATGGGTCATCTAGTATATATATAAATAACTCATAAATTCATTTCTTGTTAAAATCTTGTTTAGTGAAAAAGTGCTAACGTATATTCAAAGATACAGGTAATTAATTCAATTTTGTCATTAACCTTTTCTTAAAATTTTCCATAACTTTCAAAAATTTCTATCACTTTTAATATCCTGTAAGATAATCCACTCATTTATTTTTATCATTTTCATTTTGATCATATTATCGTAATTCTGTACATTATTATTTTTTGCAATTAATTTATTATTTAAGAAAAATCCATTTTCTTTTCCTAAACATATTGTTTGCTCAAATCTCATCAAGATCATGTTTCTTGACAGATGTCCTGAAGATGGAACGTACTTAGTTCCGAAACGTCGACAGTAAATAAATAAATAAATAAATAAATTGTTTATTGAAAAACTTTTCTTGTTTTTTATTACTTTTGAATTCTTGTTCGAAATCTACAATATATATATATATATATATATATATATATATATATATGTTGTTTTGATATCATTGCGTGCGTCATCAAAATGCACACTCATTATAATAATATGAATGTTAATTATATGATTAACAGTTTCCTGATAAAAATATACAAAACAACATATTATTAAAGTATTTATTTACTACCCACCCTTTTATAATACAAAAAATATTTGTACTATAAATTTCGTTGAAAATCGATTTACACTCATCAAACATTTCTTTTATTCATCACAAATTTTAATTATTTCTCGAGTTCCCGTTACTGTGATTGGTTAGAGAGCACGTGGCCGGTACGTCGAGCCAATGGGAGTAAAGATTTCCGGACAAGAGTACGATAGTGTAGTGTATGTGATTTTGGTTCAAGCGCATGAGTGGAATTATCGATACGGTGTGCGTTTTACTATAAATGTTAGATTCTGTAATACAAGGCACTCTTGTTGTTTCAGTAAGTAGAACAGTGGAAAATGTTTTAATAATTGAATGATAGGTAAATTCAGGTAAAAGTGCGATTTTGCCTTAAGAATCTACGATACTAACGCATAGTATCTAGCTTAGTTAACGCAAGTCTATACAAAGTTTCTTCAAAATGATTAGAAATGATTATTTTTGAATATGGTCTTCGGTTTTTTTAGAACAGTCCACAAAAATCAAATTTTGGCTTGCATACGCAAAACACTTTTTGACTCAGAAGATAAAAAGCGGACTCTATAAACGCCGCAAAAAATGAAAAGCTTATTATTAATTCTGTTGATAAGCATATGATCAAAATTAAAATAAGACTCTAAAATGCAAAACAAATACCGACTCAGAATATGGAATAAGACTTATTCTGAGAAAACAAACTCTCGAATAAAATAAAAAAAACGTTGATACTAACTGACGAGCAAACTAGATTTAAAAAACAGAAAGAACTCTACTGACGAGCAAACTAGGTTTAAAAAACAGAAAGAACTCTGCTGAAGAGCAAACTAAATTTAAAAAGCAGAAAGAAAGATTTAATAAAATGAAAAAAGAACTCGACTGACGAGCAAACAGGTTTGAAAAATACAAAGAAAAGAAACCCTACTGACGCGCAAAATCGATTTTACAAACGAACAAGAAAGAAATTTATCGACTATTTGGAATATAACTTCAGAAAATTCAGAGACATAGACTATAAAAAAAACAATAACTAGTGGTGTATAGCATCGTGTCTTAAGACAAATTGCTGGAACTTCCCGTACCGTCACGAAATTTTCGAGGAATATTGAATGTTTTCAAATAGATTTTTATAAATATTGTAACATTGTCTAATATTTATAAGAATTATATAAACTGAATTGCAAAGTTCAAAATATTTGTTTAAAGTATATTAGAACTTTAGTCAGAATTACAATTAAAATCAGAATTATTTTCGATATTCAGAATAAAATATTTTTCGAAAAAAATTGAAACAACATTTGTTTTCCAAAAGCAATTATTTACTTAAAACAAGCAGAAAGTTCTTTAAATCAATTAAATCGGACGCTTAGTTCTCTCAAAAACTGCCATTTTTTTAACATTTAGCTTTGTATCTCCGAAACCGCTGGACTTACGTTTGCCAAAACCTAATAACCACTTTTCCCCGTCATTACAAATTGAATATTTTTGGATCATACAAATCGGATAATCTGTTCTTTCAAAAACTCGATTTCTATTTTCTGCACTCTTTGCTCCATATCTCCGTAACTTTCTCCTTTCTCAAAAACTAATCAGCACATCTCTCTATTAATAGGAATCGAATATTTTTTGAACCATTCAAATCGGTTGATCCGTGCGCCCGAAAACGTGACTGAAAATTTGTATCCATACATACATACACACACACATTCATTTTTTCTGAGGTATGCCTTAAAATGTTTAGAAACCTTCAAAACGTCGAAAAATGTAAAAGTTTTCAATTTCGATTTTCGGCCCATTACAATAACTTACCCTACGGGAATAAATTACATGGTAAAAAAATATAAATAAAATCTAAAGCCAAGACAATCGAGACAGAAATTTGAAAAATAAAATATGCAAAAGTTAACAATCAAGAAACCCGAACATTCCGGATGCCATAGAATAAATATTTCTAATGTTAAATTAAGTGAATAAGATCTAAAAACAAAATAATTCAAATATTTTTCTGTTTTTTCACTTCAGTGGCAAAGTAGCTATAAGTAAGTAGCTTGAAGTGTTAAAAAATCAGCAAAAAAAAACAGAAAAATATTTGAATTATTTTATTTCTAGATCTTATTCGCTCAATTTAACATTGAAAATATTTATTTATTAGAGAGAATGTGGTCAAGTTCAAAGTGCTGTCATATATGGAGAGATTTGATACTACGGCGAGAGCAGCAAAGTCTTTGAGGCGGCCGTACTCTCAAACTATCAATTTTACAAAAAAACGGTTTTTTAAAGAATTGTAGGAAATTTTAACTAGTTTAATTCGTACATAGAAACTTTTATCGTAGAATAAGCCAGAAAGGAGATATTTTAAAAAAGTTGTTTTTTGACGCTATTTTTTCAATATGGCGGCAACTTGCCGTTCAAATTTGAGGTGCAAAGTTGATTTTCGTAAAGAGCACCTCGAAACCTATAAGATTACCAATTTTCAGAATTCCCCGAGTTTCAGAAAAATGTTCGTTCGTTTAGACTTTTAGAGTTTATAACTCTTTCCAAAAATTCTAGCCTTAAAACAGTTGCTATTGATAATCCGCATTGTGTTCCCTCAGTGTCCCTTATTATTATATCGTTGCCAGACGACGGCGCAGTGTCTCGTAGCATGTGGGCGGCGCGGGGCGTCCGTTAGGCGGTTAGGCCTCTACAACGACGACGCACGCGAAACTAAACGCTTCCCAAAGTCAATCTTCAATTTTCATTCAACAATACTACATCGTCGGCCGGCGACGACACACCGACACACGACACAATACAACGTAAATTAATTTAATTAAAAACAATAAATAAACAATATAAAACAATATAAACAAACATTATACAAATCACTACCGACATAATAATAAACGCAATCAGTACAAGTGATTCAGTGAAGGACAAAAAACACGCGCACATGTTTATAAGATAAAGTTTTATAAGTGCTTGTAATTTTAAAAAAGTTAGATTTTTGTAAGTTTTATATAAAAAAAATTGATATTTGTAAATTTTATATTAAAGCAAGTGTGTACATATGTAAATGGTTTTGTCTTAAAATATTTTTATATCAAATATAAAGCCTGACAAAATATTTGTAATAAATTATTAAATAAATAAAAGTTTTTAATATGGATATTAAAGCTGAAGATAAAGTGGTAAGTTTCAATTATTAATTTTATTATTATTCATACTTGCTTGAATTTATATTGAATTTTGTTCCTTAATTTTTAGTTTTTATAAATACTAAAATCGGTTGAGGCGTTTTTGAGAAAACGTCGATGAAATGTCTAATTTTGACAAATGCCAAAAAAACGATACCAATTTTTGCAAACTTTGACGAATTTTTAAAGCTAAACGAGTTGTCGTAGGGCGATAATATTTTAGTATCATCTAGAAGTCTATGGTATCTACCGTCAAAAAAATAATATTAAAATTCGTCAATTTTTTTTTAAAAATAACTTTATCACAAGAAAACGGCCCGGCCGATCTTTACCAAAAACTAATCAGCACGATTCCCAACCAAGATCTTTCGAACGGTTTTTAAATTTTAAAAATCGATTCAGAATTGCGGGCTAAAACTTGGACGAAAAATTTTTCACTCTTCTGCAATTTACAAAGAAACGGCTTGGGTGATCGTCGCGTAAAATTGATAAACGATAGTCCTTATCGAGATACATCGAATGGCTTCTAAATTTTTAAAATCGGTCCAGCCGTTTTTAAGAAAACGTCAATTTACGGCAAAAAATCTGTTCACACACACACACACAAACAAACACACACATACTTTTTCCAAATTTGGTCTCATTCGATTCAGAATGGCTTGAAACGTCGAGAAAACATAAAATTAGCGAATCGGATTTTTTGAGGAAAACAAACTTCTCCTTCGAGAAGTTATAAAAATGTTGCGCCGCCCTTAATTTTTTCAAAAATTTAATTTTATAAATACTCATCAATATATATTAATAAATAAAAAAATAATAAAAATAATAAAAACTGATATTTTTAGACTAGAAATTAACATGCAATATGAATAAATAAAAATATGAATTAAAACTAATTGTTTATTTTTGAATATCATTTCAATATATATAAATAAATAAAAAAATAATAAAAATAATAAAAACTGATATTTTCAGACTAGAAATTAACATGCAGTATGAATAAATAAAAATAGGGATAAAACTAATTGTTTATTTTTGAATATAATTTCAAAAATGTTGGGTTATTTTTGGAAAAATAGTATTCTGAAAACAGATGTCAGGGGGCGCGCCCCACAGATTGGAAACCGCTGAATTAAGTAATAATATACAAACTTCAACTAAATTCATCCAAATATTAAAATATATCAGAATTTGTAAAAAAAATGTCAAAATGTGCATATGAAACTATCAACTTTTTAAATACAAATACAATCTTTAAAAAATATCAAGAGCAATAATAAATCCTTCGCATGAAAATTATTGTAATGAGTAAAAACAATTTTACAAACTTAGTTTTTCGATGTTAATTAAAATTTCATATATAAAAATGTATATAAATGAAAAGGTATAAATTTTCTATTGATGACACACATCAGGTGTCAAAACGTTTAAATAAAGAAATAGAAATAATAATACATACATATATATATATATATATATATATATATACATATATATATATATATATATATATATATTATAAATAAATTATTTTTATACAGGTTCAAAATGGACACCAAGTGTCAAAACAAAATCCTTTTGTGTTGAAAACCATTTAAGCAACAGTACTAAATAAATGCAAAAAATAAATACTAAACTAATAAATTTCAAATGCAATAAACATAAATTAATAATGCAAATGTAGCTATAATTACAAATACAGATTGCACACAAGTAAAAATCAAATATTAACAATATACATACAGATTTGAATTATGGCGATTGCCGATTTGACAGATTTAGGTTAAATTTTTACCTCAACACAAAAAGCATTTTAATTCTGATTTTAAACCATGACACAAAACAATTATATAATAATCATCATTACCTGTTTATTTTATTTTGTTTCTGGCCACATTTTGCACAATTATACGACAATTAACACAAAATATCACGACAAAACTTTTGCTCTTTACTACGACCTGTTGTTATTGTTTCCGTCTCGGCCGACATTTGTAAAATGTTCGTTGATGTTCGGAATTTGTTCGTTTTTGGGGTTGCCGTATACGATTTAATAGGATTTTATAATTTTAGTGTTGCCTAACACTTGAGCGGTTATTTTGAAATTCATAATAATAAAATTAATAATAATAAAAAATAATTTACAGAATAACAATTATGTCAAATTTAATGTTTAGTTTTCATAACAATAATCGGAATAAAATTTATTATTAATGATTTTATATGTAATTACACAATATTTATGTTTTAACAAATTTAGTGCTAAATGCAAATGATTTGTTCCATATGTATTCAAATAGCTTTGCAGGTCGTACTGTAACTACCATATATTTATAATTTAAAAATGTTATTCCTAAACTATTCCTGTATATATTATTAAAACAAATACTAAAATTCTGGATTTTTTCACAAATTATAAAGAATTTGGTCTAAATTTTACAAGTATGATGATAAAAGTTATATTGTAATAAATAAAATAGTAACTTTAATAACAAATAATTAAAATTAGTGGGTAAATAATAATTCGTAAATATATGAAAAAATAGAAAAATAGATAAAATTGATATATATATATATATATATATATATATATTATATTATTATATATATATATATATATATATATATTAAATATATTATTAATTTATTTTAATTAATGAGACTACAACTATTCAATAAAGTAAAGTATAAGTATATAACACTTTAGTATGAATTCTTTAACAATTTATAGTATTTTTTAACTATGTGAACCTTACTTCTAAGAAATAAAAACTAAATTATATCTAATAATCAACCATTTATAATAAACAAGTTACTTAAACATTTATATTAATATTTAGTTAATTCTTTCTATATATTATTAGTATAACAATTTCTCTCAAACCTGGACAAACCGAATCATCCTGCAAGAATTTATTTGTTTAGTAACATTTATTTCTAATTATTATAAATATCAATATATAGATTTATAGATAATTTTATCAGCTTTGTAATGATGTATAATAACATATATTAGTATAAACAAATTAGTAACAAAAACAATCTTAATATGTATTAAAAAGTGTTATCATATAATTAGTTAACATCAAATGCCTCAATATTTAAATCTCAAATTTAAAATATTTTTTTAATAAAACTTTGTTCTAAATGATTTCAATGGTTATATATGAATTTATAGATAATTTCATCAGCTTTTTAATCATATATATTAATATATATTAGTATAAAAAATTATACACAAAAACAATCAAAATAATAAAAAATGTAACCAGAAAATACAACATATAATTAGTTGACGTCAAACATTTAATTCTCAAATTTAAACTAGTTTTCAAATATAATTTTATTCCAAATTATTTCAATTGTTATATATGGATTTATAGATAATTTTATCAGTTTTGTAATGATATATAACATAGTATAAAGAAATTATACACAAAAACGATCTAAATATTAAAAAATGCAACCAGAAAACACAACATGTATTATTAGTTGACATCAAACGTCTCAATATTAAATTCCCAAATTTAATATAATTTTGCATAAATACAGATTAGTTCAATTGTTATATACATATTTATAGAGAATTTTATTATTATTATTATTATTATTATTTTCAATAACGTATAAATAAAGTTTTTTTTAAATATTGTACTCAATATATTCTATTGAGATCTTTGAAGAAGATATTTCATATAGGAGTCCTGGCGATGCAAATATCTATTATATACGATATATATATATATATATATATATGGGTAAGTGGCAACTAAGAGGAAAAAGCTTCTAACTGGCTCCAAAGCCGGTTAAGCTCAATAAATAACCTCAAAGCTGGTTTTGTATTGAGCAAAAATCCTGCCCTACCCACATTATATGTATAATAAATGCATATATATATATATATATATATATATATATATATATAAAATTTTATGGTCTCAATTATTTACACGTGCTTACACTGCCTATAAATAATAAAAATCATAAACTGTTTTTTAAAAAGTCTGCGTTGGTTTTGGTTCCTATTTGATATACGGAATTCGATTAAAATTTGATTTTTAACCGAATTTTTGTATTTTATTTTAATATATATATATATATATATATATATATATGTATATATTCAGGGCCGGATTTAGAAATTTGGCGCCCCGGGGCACTGACAAAAATGCCGCCCCATCCCTAAAATTTTACGAACTTTCGCACTTTTTTTTAAAGCAATCGCGCTGCTTCAGTTGCGTAGGGACAAAATATAGAAGCGCGTAAGCGCCGCGTCGCAGTCAACTGATAAACAATGTTACAGAACGCATATAAATGTAAACAAAATTTATGCTTATTATTATAATATTTTTAAAATATCTGATAATTTAATGCGCATATGTCTTATGATCACTTTTGTCCGCCAAATGTTTCTTTCTCAATTTTTTTATTGGATCATCGAAGCCGCTAAACCTGCCCCCCACAAATCTAAGCAGTTATTTATCCTGTAATTTTTTTTGAATGATATTGGACGCTTTTTTTCTCAAAAACGAAACTATCATTTTTGGAATTTTGACCCGTATCTTCAAAACAGTTGGATCTGCCTTGGCCAATAACTAATCAGCACGTCTCCTTATCAATAGGAATTGAATCATTTAAATCGGTTAATCCATATTCTCGAAATTGACTTGAATAATTAAAAAATATTAGATTTGTATTGATGGAGAGACGTGCTCATCAGCTTTTGGGACAAGCAATTACGAAAAATGGTAATTGAGTTTCGATATTTCTTCTCTGAAACAGCTACGCAGCGCGATTGCTTTGCAAAAGGTTCATAATTTTCAAAAAAATTCAAAATACGAAAGATGTCTTTTAAAAGTCTTTTTTTTCATTTTTCAAAAAATTTTAAAGCTCTTTATAAAATGTAATTTTTAATACGGGATGTTTCAGTAATTTGTCAGACACAATGCCATGAGTCAGTAGTAAGCTTGGAAGTGCACAAATTCGTCATTTTAAGAGGGCTCGAGAACTGAAGAACATATTTTTCAGCTTGTTCACGGATCTTTATATTAGCCAAATTGCCAAATTTGATAACTTATTAACCACTTTGATAATTTACGTTCGGAGAGGGAGGCAAGGCAAAATAATAAATTTTAGTTATCGGTTTTTTCAATCCAAATTTTGCATTGCAATCGTATTATATTTTATTAATTATATTTCTTGAAATAAAAAATGTTGTTAAAAAAAGTTGATTATATTGTATAGAATTTTTTTTCTCACTATCCAAATTTTGTCGCCCCCCAAAATTTGCCGCCCTGGGCAGTAGCCCCGATTGCCCCTACTGTAAATCCAGCACTGTATACGAGGTGTGTTCAAAAAGTACCCGGAATTACTAATAATTAAATTTCGCGGGTCTGGAGTGTCTGATTGTCAAAATTTTTTTTTTATTGTGTTGGTATACATGCCCCTAAAGTATGATGAAATTTTCAGCTATATTCACTGTTTACTTTGTCTGTGGTAGTCGCTAAGGTTCGACGTGTTTTTCTGAGCTCGGCGATTTTTACAATGGAAGAATTGAAAAGTCAAAGAATTTGTATTAAATTTTGCGTAAAAAATGAAATAAAGTGTTGCAAAGTGCAAAAATTCACCAGATATGGCTCCGTGTGACTTTTTCCTATTCCCAAAGTTGAAGAGACCCATGAAAGGACGGCGGTTTTCCTCGATTGAAGAAAATCGCCGAGAGTGCTCAAGGACATATCAAAAAGTGAATATCAAGGGTGCTTCGAAAATTGGAAAAAACGCTGGCATAAGTGTATTATATCTGGGGGGGACTACTTTGAAGGGGACCACATTAATGTAGACGAATAAATAAATATTTTTTTGAAAAAACGAAAATTCCGGGTACTTTTTGAACAGACCTCGTATATTATAACAAATTAAATTTAATTTCCACAAATAATTCAAGTAATTTGTTTTAATATCAAATATGTTTATATGTGAGTTAACATCAATTTGATATCCATACGTTTCGGCTAACATCCTAGCCACCATTCGGAGAAAGATAAAATTTTATTTTATAAATAAATAAATTTAATTAATTTATTATATGAGAATGTGCTTCACAAATAACAGAAATAAATAAAATCTCATTATTAAAATATATGTACATATGTATATAATATATGCATTTAAAATATGATTTTTTTTTAATTTTATTTTCATTCTGCAAAAATATGAATGATTTGTCAAGAATATATAAAGTTTGAAATGTAGATTCCAAATTGTGGCATTTCTATATTATTTATTTTAAAATTCATCATCATTTTTTCATCAGCAAGATTTTTAAATTAAATAAATAAAAATTTGACAAATCTTCAAAAATTTAACGAATATATAAAAATAATTAAATATCTACTTAAATTATTAATAAATATTAAATTAAAAAAAGTACATCATAAGTTCTATCACAAAATATAATTGGTTAACATTTTATACTATACAATTTGTCGTTTTAAAGCAATAATAAATGTGATAAATATATAAAGAATAATTGTTATTAATATATAAATAACAATATTAATTACTAATAATATTGAATGTATAATGTATTCGTTCAAATAAATTAATATTTAATTTAATTAATATTAAATTTAATATTTACTTGTTCAGGAATAACCGAAGATTTATTGAGAAATGTTATTAGAAAATGAACCGCGCTTTGGAAACCATTGGAATTGATGCATTTATAAATGCATATATATACATATATATATATATATATATATATATATATATATATATTTGTATAAGTTCTAAGGATATAACTTTCTACGAAGAATTTACCGTTAGGAATTTTATGACAAATTTTATTTCCTTACTACCATAAATGTATACTAACTCTTTACATACATTAGTATATTATATATATATATATATATATATGTATATATATCAAAAATATATATATATATATATATATATATATATCAAAATTATATAATATAAAGAACTAATTTAAGTAAATTCTTGCAAATTGCAATACACAATTACAAAAGCAATTATTTTTAATAATACTAATATAATTTAATAAAAAACAGAAAAATATATTTTCTATTTATTTGATTTAATAATTTGTTTATTATTTATCATTATAGATTTTCAACTAAATAAACAATCTAATTATACAAAATTATGTATATAACAACAAGGCACAAAAGTATTTAAACATTTGATTATTATTATTCTAATAAACGTTTCGAGATCTAATTTGATTCATCTTCAGTGTTATCTAAAAATATAAAAAAATATATAAAAATAAATGTACATAAATAATTCGGAATTATAGTAATGCATAAAATATAAATAAAATAAATTTTAATTTTAATTTTAGTAAAATTAATTCCATTGAACTACTTTCATAATTTTTTGTCGGGACTTACGAAAGTACCTACATGAAGGTTTACAAATTGTACATCATTTATCATTGTGTATATATATTTATATATATATATACATATATATTTATATATATATATATATATATATATATATATAATCATATTTCGAAAGCGAAATACGAGTTTATCTTCATCTAAAATCATTCACCAAGGTCTAACAAACGTTATAACAAATATATAATATAATTCATATCAAAATAAAAATTGCATAAAAATATAAAACATGGATTCTCCAGTCGATTACTATTATTTATTTAAATATTAATATTAAAAAAACTTGTGGTGTATAGCTTATAAGTTAGCTTACTGGAACTTTCTATGTTTTAACAAATATTAGATAAAAATATAAAAAATAGTGAAAGTGTAAGTATTACTTATGTAGGAGACACCACTGAAAATAAATAAAAACTGGTATATATTTTACAATATTTTGAAAATTTTTAGTAAGCACGATTTTGAATATTTTGAGGATTTTAAACAATTAAAAATAATGAAATTATTTTTTCTTTGCGATATAAATTAAAAATTTCAAAAAATAATACTGGTGTACTTGAAATATGTAAAAAAATCTTTAAATTTTAATTTTTTCTCAAATTTTTTTCCTTATTAAACAATATTCATGTTTTTTGTTAATTAATATTTATTTATTTTATTTTAATTTATAATTTCAATTTATTTTAATATTTATTAATACAATTAATTGTTTCCGATAGCAAACCTGACGTAACTTGTATATAAGTAGACTTAAAAAAAAATTCACTAGAATACAAACACAAATTAATACAAATTTTGAAATATTTTTATATATATTCCGCACTAATTAAATTTATTTTAATAAACTATTTATTTGTGTAAGAATCGATTAAATTTTAATAAAATGTTTTCAAGGAATTCATAATAATCTGCTGGACATTTTAGCCTTTGAATTGAACTGTTCGTATCAATTTAATATTAACAGCTAATAAACAAGTGTTATAGATATACAAATATATATATATATATATATATATATATATATATATATATATATATAAAGGATTCATTGAACTCTCATTCAATAAGTGAGATGATAATACATGCGGGTATTAAATCATATTTATCCTGTCTGATACATCTTCTTTGTATTTAAATTAAATTAAAAATTTAATATATATATGTACATATATATATATATATATATATATATATATATATATATACATCCTTATTTACCAACTATTTTGTAATTATAGTGGACCACTGAAATATAATTCAAATCTTCTTATTTTTTATTTTCTATTCATTTTTATTCATCTTGGCAAGAAATTAACTGACTAATATGAAAATTAAATACATATTTAATAAATGTTTGAAATTGTTAAAAAAAACACACATTTTTCTCAAAATTTTGATTAAAATCTGAATAATTTTTGGGGAACCAAAAGAATAAAATATGTTTAAAATAACAAAATAAATATCATGTATTTGAAAACGATTTTTTTTTAAATATTAAATTTGATTTTTTTCTTTGAAAAAGTACTTTGAATAATTATGTATTGTTGAAAGTTCTAAAAGTTGTAATTATTTTTATAATTCTCATACATTTGCGGAATTTAAATATTTGATTTAAAACTTTATTACTATTATTCTATTATATTACATTTATTATTTCTTCATTGCTATTATAATTATACAAAAATTTCAAAAAAGTCGATATTTCGAGTTTCTAGTAATACTTGCGGTCCGTTTAATAACGTTTTTGTGTATAAATAAAACTACAAACAAAACTACTTACTACAATTTAATTATAATTTAATAATATTCGCGTAAAACATCCTATTAAACGTAATTGAACATAATCTGTCAAAAACGTTTGACATTTGACGTATTAGCCACCGTCCATTGTTTTATTTCAATTGCGCTTCTACAAAAATTTTCAAATTAAAAATGTAAAGTTTCTACGCGATTTTGAAATAATATCTCACCTTTCCGACCATCTCTGGATAGGCACGAATTTTTCAAGACTAAGATTGACCAAATCGGTTTAACCGTTTTCGAGTTTTGCAGAATCATTTGATCGAGAGATCCATTTTTTATATATAAGAGATATATATATATATATATATATATATTATATTATATTATTATTATTTTTAGGAAGAAGACACCTTACCCATAGAATTCGTAGAGATGCAAAACGGCGGCCGAAAGGGCGACAAATCGGCGGCGTTCTCTTGGCACCTGGCGGTTGCTGTCTTCGCTGCCGTTATTGGTTCCGGTTTCCAACACGGCTACAACACAGGGGTCGTCAATGCACCCCAACAGGTACTAAATATAATATAGAAATTAACGATTACATATTTATAAAAAAGTAATAAATCTTTTCATATTTACACTAACATATCTTCTCAGTTTTTGTATATAACACTTTTTGTAATTTTTGTGGTGTCTTAGTTTAAACCAAGATTCAAACCAACACTTAACTTTTAATTAATAAATTAAATATTAATGTTTTTTCAGTTGATAGAAACATGGATATACGACGTCGTAACAAATCGTTCAAATTCGTCAATAAACGGAGATTTTGTCGGTTCATCAGAAGTGACCGCCATTTGGAGTCTGGCGGTGTCAATGTTCTGCATTGGCGGCATGATTGGAGGCGCATTTACCGGAATAATCGCAGACAGGTAATATATTAAATAGATAGTCACACTTATTTTGTTCAAAATGTTACTATAAGTGTGATATCTATTCTTGGTTACATGCCTAATGTTATATGCCAACACTAGAGGGATCACATCAACCAGTTTAAAATTATAGATACTGATAAGTTGCCTTATAAATAAAATAGGCGTGAAATCGAACTTATGTTATTCTAAAAATTTATTAAGAAAATTGTAAATGGCAAAATTTACCAGTTTACAAATCCAAAAAAATAACAAGCATAAAAAATAGTTAGCTTAGAAACAAACCAATTCAATTAGTCGAGAAACACGCCGAAACTAACATAACCAGTAAATTTCAATACCAGTATAAATAATACACAATATACAAAACAAGATTATTATTACTATTTACCACTTGCTAACTTCCCGTAGTGTAAGTTATAGTAATGGGTCGAAAATCGAAAATGAAAATTTATTGCATTTCTCGACGTTTTGAAAGTTTCTGAACATTTTACTGGCATACCTCAGAAACCAAATGGATGTGTGTGTTTTGTATGTCCGCGTTTTTCGTCCCACGTTTTCGGGCGCACGGATCAACCAATTTGATGGTTTAAAAAACATTCGATCCCTATTGATAGGGAAATGTGCTGATTAGTTTTTGACAAAGGCAGGTCCAACCGTTACGGAGATACGGAGCAAAGAGTGCAGAAAATACAAATCGAGTTTTTGAGAGAACGGAGTATCGGATTTGAATGATCTAAAAAACATTCTGCTTGTATTGACATAACAATTGCTTTTGAGGATAAAAAATTATTACATCTTTTTTTTATTTTCTATAAAATATTTTTGTAATTTTGGATTAAAAATTCAAAATCGTGCCTTAAGGCAAACTGCTGAAACTTCCCGTACCGTAACGAAATGTTCGAGGAATATTGAATGTTTTCAAATAGATTATTATAAATATTGTAATGATTGTGATATTGTCTTATATTTATAACAATTATATAAACTGAATTGTAAAGTTGAAATTATTTGTTCAAAATATATCATTAGAACTTTAGTCAGGATTAAAAATAAAATCTGAATTATTTTCGATATAAAAAAGAAAAAAATTTTGAAAAAAAAAATTGAAAAAAAAAGTTGAAACAAAAATTTTTTTTACAAAATCAATTATTTTGTTAAGACAATGAATCATTCGAATCGGACTCTTAGTTCTCTCAAAAACTGCCATTTTTTGCACATTTAGCTCCGTATCTTTGAAATGGCTGGGCCTGCCTTTGCCAAAAACTAATAAACATTTGTGCTATTTGGAGGTTAGTTTTACAGCCATAGCCATTGACAGTATTAGAAATGCTCGTATAAACAAACAAACAAAATGATTGTGATCCAGAAGCTTCGGATTTCCTTGTCTATTTCAATTCTAGAAAAATGTGCTTAACTAATAAAGAAAAACAAAATTGTAATTGTCCAAATTTACGAGTTTGCAAATCCAAAAAATAACAAATTGTTAGCTCAGAAACACACCGATTCAATTAGTGAAGGAACACACCGAAACTAATACAACCGTGTTTAATAACCAATAAATTTAAATACCAGTATAAATAATACACAATATATAAAATGAGACTATTACTACTATTTATTTCTACATTTGTTTCGTTTACCTTTAGGATAGGAAGACGCGATGGTCTCCTTTGGAACAACCTCTGGTTCCTGGGCGGTGCAGCATTGCAAGCATCAGCAAAAATTCTGCACACTCCTGAAGTCCTTTGGGCAGGACGTCTGCTGTCAGGCATAGGATCAGGCTTAGGTGCCGGTTTGGCGCCTATGTACCTGGCAGAGATCGCTCCTGTTTCACTCAGAGGAGCTGTAAGTAGAAAAAAATATATATAGATGATAAAATGTTGAATTAGTAAATACTAAAATTATACTTAATGCATTTTATTATTTACACATAGTCAGCTTTCAAAATAATAAATAATCAAAATCACACAATATTCTCGAATCATTTTTTTGAAGTAAAACTTCTTTAGGCGCGACATGGGTGTAAATCCGTACAAATGTAACGGAAATTGCCAAACTGAAGTGATCGCTTAGATGACTCGCGCTTACGACGCTAGTTAACAAAAAATACATCAAATGTCAAATCATATGTCAAAAACAAAAAAAATGTATCGACTTTCACTTGAGTTTTGTATTTAGCTCGTAGTCTCTAAACATTTTTTGAAGTAAAACTTCTTTAGGCGCCACATGGGTTAGCCATATAAAGACTTCCATTTGTTTTAGGAATGCACGAACAATGCTTGAAAAACAATTTACAAATGATAGCTTTGGATATGTATGTTTTGTGTGTGATCGACTTTGGTTTTAAAGTGACTTAGAAATATCAAATGATGCTCAAAAACAAATTCTTAATAATGGTTTTCTGAATATTGATTCAAATAATCAGATTGGATGTCAAACTTGTCGAAAGGTATTAAATTCGGGTAAAATTCCCACTTTGTGGAAATTTAACGGGTTTTGTATTTCCACCTATTCAAATTATCTATCTAAACTAGATACTGTATCTGAAATGTTAATTTCACCTAGGTTGTGTTTCATGCAAATTAGACGATTGCGACATGCAAATGGACAATTAGGAATGTTTGGACAAATTATAAATGTACCTGTTGGCGTTAATAATATGGTTAATTTATTACCTCGTAATATTGATGATGATCATTGCTTTAACGTTCACATAAAAAAGAAAATGATTCATAGATCAAGCTATGTGCAGGGCTTGATGAATAAAACAAATATAAAAGTATGGCTTAAATTTTTTAGGCAAAACAGATATCACAGCTGTTCAAAGAATGAGATTATATCGTCAGCGAAAAAGTAAAAAATTACAAACAGTAAATAAATGTATGTTAATTTTAATTACATGAAGTTCGTCAAACACAATTGTTACAGGATGAGTGAAGTTGCATAAACGATATTTGTTTAGGGGTTGCTTAACATAATCCACTGCGTGAACGAATATTATAGAATTTATTAATCAGCTATTACTTTAAACCGATCATGTCATATTTCAAGTATGACTTTGATTACATTATTGCTTGTAAATATTATACATATTTTTAATGCAATCATAAATATATAATTTATAATTTATCATTATATAAATGTGTATAATGATTGACGACACTAATAAATGTGTGCATCACGAGTGTTACCATATTATTATTAAACATTTTTCCCAATTGCTATGTGATGTATTTATTTTTACTTGACTTAAATTTGCTATTTTGTACAGTAGCAAATAAGTTTTACTTCAATCGCGTGTGATCCTTACGCGCACTCTTTTTTTATTAATTTTTGCTTACCAATTTTATTACGACCTATTCGTCACCAACCAATTTTTTAACTTCCCGTAAAGTAAGCTATTTTTTTTTTTTTTTTTTAAAAAAGAAAGTAGTTCTTTCAAATTTCCAAACAAAGTAAAAATATGTGTTCTATAATTGTTCTAATTTTCATATTTTAATTAGCAAAAGTGTAACTTATAGCTTTGAAATATACCAAACCTTCAGCTTCATTTTACTTCAATTTTATTATTTTCACCTTTAATTTTTCTCCTCAGATTGGAACCGTCTACCAGCTAGTGATAACCCTATCAATCCTGATCTCTCAAGCTTTGGGCCTCAGTGGAGCTTTAGGGTCTGAGGATTTGTGGCCCTTGCTGCTAGGTTTCGGACTTCTACCAGCCCTGATACAACTGTTGACGTTGCCTTGGTGTCCTGAAAGTCCTTCCAGGTTGGCGGCGAAGGGACGGAAGGTCGAGGCTGAAAAAGGTAAAAGAGTGTTTTTTAATGATGCTATTTTGAAGTAGAGGGTGAAAAATGTGTGATATTGCCAGTCTTGTAACAAAAGAAATTTGAGTTTTGCTCGTCAGTAGAGTTCATTTTCAGTAAAGCTCATATCTTAGTTTGTTTGTCAGTAGAGTCCCTTCTTATATTTATTATAGTTTTCTTGTCAGTATTGTTTGTTTTCCTCTTCCACTAGTTTGCTTGTCAGCATAGTTTCTTATTTTCTATTTTTATTACTCAGAAAGTCAGCAGGGTTCATTATTTTTTAGTTAGCTCGTCAGTAGAGTCCT